AAACCCTTCAATCCAGAACCAATTGAAGAAACTCAAATATCGAACAAATTACCGACATCACCTACTGGAGTGGGTTCGGGTGACAACGCATTCCAAAGGGGCGACACGGGCGCTTCCATAGCTCCCTGTAAAGACTCATTCTCAAACATCCAATCATCAAACTGAAAATCCAACACGTCGTAATTTATTGTACTTTCGGGAAAGCAGGAATTATCCGCTAATACTGGTCCTTGTAGGAAATTGTCTACAGGCCCTTTAATCTGACTGCTGTCCTCAACAACACCCTGGCACTTATTAAAGTCAGCAGCAGGCCACACGCTCTGCCATTGCTGCAAAACCTGCAAGTTCAATTCACTCAGGCTCGAATTTATGCTGTTGAGCGCCTGACTAACTTGTGGAGAATCATACGGTGCTGCAACAAAAGGCGCCTCCTGAGGTTGAGAAAAGTTATTTCCCGCAATTTGATTGGTGGGGCCCACGGAATTATTAGCAGCATAAACCGAACTATTATTAGCACAGGGCTGGAGCACGTGGGTCTCGGGGAAATTCGGATTATCAAAGTTGTTTCCAAAGCTCGGGTGACCTGTCATTAGAGAGCTTACTACTGGATTCTGAGAGGGGCTGCAGCTCGCGAGTCCCACGTTGTTGACCGGCCGAGAATTATAAAAATGGGTCGCTGGGGAACTTCTTTGGCGTGTGGTGCGGTGCGCGGAGGGTGCCACGGGCATGCGGCGCCTCTCCTTGAGAATTTTCTTGATACCTGCCATGGGGTCGTTTCTCGGCCGGTGAGGCCCGAGTGGTGGGACGATATTGTTCAGCTTCAAGATTGGATCTTTGCTCAAGGGCTGCGGTTGGGGCCTGTAAACCGGGGCCACGTGGGCCCGGGCTTGATGGGCCGGGATGGCGACGGGCCTGCTGAAGCCCGATGGCATGGTGGTGGGGGCCCGGATGGGGACGGGCCGCGGTGGGGCTCGCGTCTGAGGAAAAAGGGGTCTAGGTGGGCCGGTGTTGTTGAGGTGGGGGACAGCTGGCGCGGGATTCAGAAGGGCGTTCTTGGTACGTTTACGCTCGGCCCGCCAGTAGTCGTCTTTATCGGTCGCGTGGCAGTGGTCAACGCTGGAAGCTCCGGTCCCCCAGTGAGGGCATGGGGCCACTGAGTCGCACACGTAACAGTGGCACTGAAATTTTAGGAAGGTTCTGAATCAAAAACATGGAAGTGTGTGTGTGTGTGTGTTTTGTGTTTATCTGACGCAACTTTTTATAATGAAATATAAAGATATCATGGAATCATGTTTTTGTTTTTAATTTACAAAAAAGGAATATAACTGCTCTCTCTCTCTCTCTCTCTCTCTCTCTCTCTCTCTCTCTGTGTATGTGAGTGTCTAATTAGGTGAAACCAAAATGGTGTGTTTCTTAATCATGTCTAGGAATAAATTAATTACCTGGCCACAATGGATCTCATGCACAGTTGAAGCAAAGAGAAATTTAGCACAAAGATGTCGAGCGTGAGGGAAGTCTCTGCATGCAACCTACGATGCACAGAGAAAACGGACAAAAGTTAGGTCTAACTGACAACTGTGCGCAAAGATTGAACCAGAAAGGCAATCAGTTGACCGTTAATGAGTAACACAATTACGATAGCATATACAAGCACCATATCATGATAACGGAGAAATTTAAACATGAACCATAGACTATAATAAAATCATGAATAAATATTGCCAGCCTCCAATCCCCTGAGATGGAAAATACAACATGATTTCATTTATTTCAACTGCAATCTGAAAAATTTCCACTTCCATAAGCTCTAGTCCATAATCCATTGAAATACTACTATTTCGAGAATAAAAGTTTCAGCATTACAAAATTCCTTCAAGTACATTCCCCTGGATCAAATATATGAAGCTGTACAAATGAAACAATCACCTCGCAACTCGATCACAAAAGGTAATAATTTCAAATAGAACAAACTAAACAAATACAGACATACATAGATGCACGAGTGATGCATAACAGTCAGCCATGTACCGTGTTACAAACGGCAAAATTACACTGTATTACATAAGAATTGCGTAAAATTGTAGACAACACAAGCATGAGAATGCAACTACTCATAGCATCACCAAAGGCACACATCAGTCAGTAGATCAAGAGTCAGTAAACCCAACAAAAAATCTTATATTGGTTTAAATGAGCACAAAAAAAGCAGAGAAAAACAACAAAAAGAAAAAATAAATAACCACCTCGCCTTTCTCAGCAACAATTTCCACATCATCTCCATCAACATCATCATCACCAACTCCCTTAACGCCGTTTGCAGTCTGTGCAGGTGCAGTCACGGCCACCGGTTTATCAGGATCACCTTCCAAAACCACACAATCATCATCATCATCAGCACCACCAGCAAATTTACCACAAGGCCTCAAAGGATCCCACCTCGATTTCTTGGTAGGATTTTGAAAAGTCTCACCGATCAACACGATGTCATCCGAGTCATCGCCCTTATTATTCCCACCCACTTCACACAAAATCTCCGACAGCCACTCACAATCATCCCGGTCCAAAAACCCACGTCCGCCGAAGCCGCCGCCTTTGCTGGCCCCTCCAAAATCCGCCTCCTCGTCGGAGCTAATATCAAGTACCACCGGACCCGAATTCTCCATCAAAACACCTCGTTTCTCGAAATTTCCGTCAAAGCCCGGAGATCTCACCTTTCTTCATCCCCCATCGAACTAAATTACATCTCCCCACACAAAATCAACAAATTTAAGAAAACCCAAAACTATGGAGTATGAATTAGGGTTCAAGAAGAGGCAGGTGGGCACGGCGGCAGCAGATGGGATCGGCAATGGAGGCACGAGGGGGTACAGCAATTGGGGGAAAAACCCTAAACTCCAGAAATGGAAACCTTCAGTGGTTTTCAGTTTCCAGTGGGGAGACCATTCTTGGGACGTCTTTGTGTATTTTTTTTCCTGCTTTTCTATCTACGCCGAGACCAAAACTGTCGTCTTGGAAAGAACGAAGAATTTTTGATATCGTCTGAATTGCGTGCGTATGCATTGTGGGGTCAAAGTCAAATCGAAAAAAGGAAAGTTACGTTTGGTATAGAAAAGTTTTTGCTCAAAATTTTATTCAATTCAAAATCTAATTCTATTTTAATTCAATTTCAATGTTCTCAATATAATTAAATAATACTTTCTCCTATTTTTAATAAATATTATTTTGAAAAGTTATACAATAATTAAAAATATTTTATTTGTCAATAATAACCCTCATTAATGATAGAGATTGATGTTTTGAGAAAAGATGGAGAGTATAATGTATTTATTAGTTAGATGAGGATAATAATGGAAAAATATGTACAAAATAGCCAAAACGATATTTATTTAACAAATAATCAATTAAACTAGAATGACAAATAATAAATAAGGAGCGAGTATCATTCAATCATTCTTACATATCACATCTACTTTAATTCACTATTCATCTACTCAAATAATTTTAACTAATTATCAATTCATATCATTTCTCTCAAACTTTTATATCAAATCAACTTTAATTATTCTATTTTAAATATTATTTTGATATAAATTCAAAATCTCACTAACAACTAACTATACCATTTTTTTTTTCAAATTAACTCTAGTTAACAAAAAAAATTCACTTTGAGTGAATTTTTTTATATAGAAACAACATTGGTTTACAATCTTCATTTACAAGCTGACGTGGCATTATACGCTTAGGCATATAAAAGGACCCATAATTAATTAATAAATATATATTGTGATATAGAAATAGAAATAAAAATAGTTAAACCAAGGATGAATTTATTAGCACAATTAGATGAAATACATGATCATACAAGGAATTATTTTAGAATGAGAAAACAATTAGATGAAATACATGATCATACAAGGAATTATTTTAGAATGAGAAAACAAATAAGTATATTACATCAATTAATAGATATGCAAAAACAATTAAGTATAGTATAAAACATTACAAACAATTAGATAATAATACTATAAAAAGAAAATTATAGATATTTGATTTATTGGATCTAAATAATTTTTTGGGATTAGATATTTGAAATTTGGATTTGTTCGGATATTTATTTGAATGTACTTCTTTGTACCTGGAAACATATAAAACATAAATCACATAAATCTACTATGACACTTTAATGTAGATCTCATTTTCAATGGAAATGCACATTATAGTAATCCAATAGAAGATTATGTTTCCAAAAATCCTACATTAATGTAATTGAAAGGTTAGTTGAAGGCTAAAAATTTATGAAATAAAAAATGTTGTGATATGACTTTTCAGAATAAGATTTTTTGTTAAGTCATAACTTAGCGTGTTTATACTACATCTTTATTTNTATAGCCTCTTCAGCCAACCAGCAACACCAGCACTCAAGCTTTAGGGCTCACGGGCTGGGGTAAGCCTCTAGGCTATATCAGCCGATCACTGTTTTCGGGTATTCGGTGGCTGTCGCCATCGCTTGCCAGTCATTTGAGTCGCAAGGCTTCCTCATGACGCCTCTGTCGGTACGCTTCCCACATATCGCCAACACAAGACTTGAAACTGTACCTCTCTCCAATGCTCGCTGGTCTCAATCGCCCAAATTAAGAAGGATAGAGCAAGATTCGAGAGGTTGTACATATGGAGTGTTGGTGTGTGTGTGAGTTCATGTGAGTTATGCAAAAGGGTGTGTTTGTATATGAAGTATCTTAATCCTTATTTAATTCATACTCAAAATTTAACTCAACTTTAACTCAACCCTACTATCCTCAGTATTTTTATTATAATTAAATAACATCAACAAATCATTCTTGCACATCACATCAACTTTAATTTACTATTTATCCACTCACATAATTTTAACTAATTATCATTTCCTATCACCACTCTCATACTTTTATATCATATCAATTTTAATTATTTTATTTTAAATGTTAGTTAATATAAAATCAAAATCTCACTAATAACTAACCACACTACTTTTTTCAAATAAATTCTAATTAATAAAAAAATTCATTTTGAGCGAATATATTTGTATACAAACATAAGGCGTGGTGAGTATACAATTTTATAAAACTCTGTAGAAATAATGTATGCAACATTAAAAACTCGGTGCATTACGGTCGTATTGAATTGTCCATTTATTCACATCTATCTATATATATATATAATTGCTAGCTATGCAATAAATTTTACCTAATAAATAAAACCTAATAAATTTTACCTATGTGGCAAATCATTAATAAAACCTAATAAATAGAACCTAATAAATTTTATTTATGTGGCATTAATACACCCAATCTCATTAATAAGAAAATATTTTATTACATTTTTTTGGGTTAATTAAGACAAAATCTATTATATTTTATGTTAATTGATTAATAATTATATTTTTTATTGAATAATATAATAGTTAATATTAAAATTAGTAATTATATTTTATGCTAAATAATATATGAAAGTTACATAAAATTATATTTTACACTAAAATAAATATTTTTTTATATGTTGAAGCGGTTGTTTATTAATAAATTAATTTTTTTATGTCATAGTGAAATTTCTTAAAATCACATAAGCAATTGTTATAATAAATGTAATATTTTTCAGCTAATTAATTAGTCATGATCACTCAAAATTATAAAAAGTATATATTCATTACATTTTATGCAATCAATATAGTGATTCTTATACAATCAAATTGTGTGTACTATTTATTTTAACCAATGATCAAATTTTAAAATATAATACTATTATATAATTTATAATTTTAATATTATATACAATAAGAACTCATCTTTTATTAATAATATTATTATTATATTCCCTCATTGACATGATATATAAACTAATTATTTTTCTTTTACAAAATTAATCAAGAAAAAAATTAATAATTTCGTACATCATCCGCACACTTTACTAGAATCTATAAACACTAGTATTCCATTCTGTGCATTTGCACAGATGTAAATAAAATTAAATATTATAAGTTATATTTATGTATATAATATAAAAATTATAAGTTATATAATTGTATTATATTTCAAACATATAGTATTATAAGTTATATTTATGTATATAATATTAAAATTTTAAAATATAATACTATTATATAATTTATAATTTTTCTGCTATAATGTCAAGTTACTTATTCTTGAGAAGATACCATTCCTGCATCTTTGAGTGGATCTCCCATCATTCGGCTAGATTTTTGCTTGTTGTATGCAAACTTTGTATTCCTTTTTTATCTAACGAGATAGTCTATCGTTCCGAAAAAAAAAAAAGACATCGTGTGTTTTTTTCTGCTATAATGTCAAGTTGTTTATGAATATTTGTACTAATAAACTTCACTACAGTAATTCTTAAATATATTTGCACATATATGTGGCATTATATCTTTTTTTTTTATTGGTAATGTAGTATTATATCATGATAGTAGATAATTAGATATATGTTGTAAGGGACAAACTACTGGTTGTCTAGTTAAATTTTTTTAACTTGAACTATCAACTAGTATTCGACCTGTGCATTTGCACAGATATAAATAAATTATTGTGAGTCTGTATGCATATAATGATTAATTATTTTTCTTTCACTTTTTTGCAGACTAAATTTACAATTAAAAGAGTTTGAATATTTTTTTTTAAATTGCGTTTATCTGATTGGATGTAATGTATATTTTGGTACGTCTTTTATTTATGAATTATTTATTATTTATTCAGGAATTTCAAATATACTTTTTATTTTAAAAATAAAATAAAATTAAATGTAACAACAATAATAACATCTAATCACATTATACGGTCAATACATTATATGGTCAACTGTCATTAATCAAAAGTTTAAAATGATTTTTGTAATTTTGAAGTGATGAGTATTAATTATTTAATGATTAAATGAAAGATTAAATACATCAAAATGTAACGGTTTTTGGAGGGAAAATTATTAAATTGCCACATAGGTAAAATTAAATAGGTTTTATTAAATGCTATTAGCTAGTAATTATATATATATAGATTCATTCTCACTCTTCTATAAATTGAGAATATACCGTGTAAAGTGTTCTCGCAAAATGCACGTGGATAATGATTTTGTATTACCCATTCAACATTCAAGAATACTTCTAGTTCTTTTCTCCACATGTTCCGTGCATCATATGTTTTATAATTAAGTAAAATTGTAGAAGTCAAAAAGTTTAATATACTTTTATCAATTGAGAATCATGTCGTCACAAACATAACTATCAAATTAGACATGAGTTCAAAATTTATACTTAGACCTCATGATTACATGATCTTTACGAGGTATTTCTATTGACAATTCATGAATTTCTCTATGAATATAACCATCCACATTATTCAAATCGATGATATTTTTGGAACATTGTATAAAGTATATTTCTTATTCTAATATGCACATCGTTGAAACATCTTGGCGTCCGACATGATTTAAGAGTTGTTTCTCATAATATTCTTCACTATTGTTCAGATTTAAATTATTTATGTATTGGAAAAATTCGCAACAAAGCTACTTTTTATTTTTTGCTTCTTTAGTTGAATATATATATATATATATATATATATAAAATACCAAAATTGATGTCGTGCATATGTAATAGACTAATTGACCCAAAATATAAGTTTGATCCGAAAAGGTTCTAGTTGTGTCGGTCTCGGTCGATATTGTGCAACATACTCGGTATTAATGTGCAATGTGTTTAACACTGTTGTGCACATTTTCGGACGCCATTGTGCAGTTTGAACCGATTGAACTTTTGTTCCATACAAACTGAAATCAAACCAAATTATTTGGTTTATTGGGTTTATCCAATCGGTTACCCAAATTATACTAATTATTCAAAATAACATATTTTTTTTTTTATATTGTAAAATATATATAGTTTTTTAATAAATCTATTTAGTATATTTTATGTTAAGTTTGAATGTAAATGTAATATATATAGTACCGAAATTAATAATGTGCATGCCCATTCACAATAATATGCATTTAGTATAGTATTATTATGTAATCTATTGACCGGGCAACTTTTTATGTGCATTTTAATTTTAGAAAAATTTAATACAACTAGTGTGTAGCCCGTGCGATGCACGGAAAACAACATTAAATAGTAATTATAAATAGAGCTCGAGTTTGAGTCATTAAATGGAGGAAGTGCGAATTACTATTGATCCTCTTTAAAAAGTGGAAGAAAAAATAATACTTGTAAATTAAGATGTATATAAACAATATTAAATAATAAATATAAATTAAAGATGTGAGGTCAAACAATGTAAAATTATCATGTCTAAAATACTTGAATTTAACCTCCATACATGTGTAGGGAGAGAGAGAGAGAGAGAGAGAGAGAGGAAATGTGTAAACAAATTGTACAAATAATGTTTAAAAGTATCTAAAATATTATTTGCTAATAATATTTTAAAAAAATATTAAAAATTAGACAGGTAAAAAAGCTTTTTAAAAAGAATCTTAATTTAGATAATAGATTTACCATAGTAATTACAAATTAGACATTAAAGTGAATTAGTTTGTTATTCTATTTTATTTTATTTTTTAATAAGATAAATAAGGGATGAGATTTTTTAAACTTGTTATGTGATGAATTTTGTAAGCTAACAATGAGTTATTTTAAAAAAAGAGTTTTTAAAAATTGAAAAGTCAAGACAATCAGTTCAGATTAATTAAAGGTCAAAGAATATCCGCTCCTTGAAATAAAGACGTGTGCTATCATTAACCAAATATCCGGTTATTGATATAGAGTGGTTACCGAAAAATTGAACGCGATAAGGACGCTTTATGTCAATGGGATAAGGTCATAACAGATCGCTATACATTTTAACGATAAAAGCTCAGATGGAATGATTTAATTAGATGTGTGAAAATGACATAATTAATGAGAAGTGTGAAAAGGACAAAAACTTACCGGTTTTGGAAAATATTTAATGCAAATCTGACATTGACCATAATTTGGCCTACTATTTTGGATAAATGTTAATTCTTATTATATAAGTATAGATGTATTTTAATTAACACTATTGTGCATTTATCGACTTATTTATATAATAAAAACTTTTTTTTATTTATAATTTTTTATCTAATACTGTTATATTATCGTTTGTTACAACAAACAATAATATATATAGATAAATATAAAAATAATATTTTTATATAATTCAATCAATTTCATTATTTATTTTTTTTCATTAAATAAAGTCGAAATCGAATCGAAATAACCAAAATTTACTATGTGTTAAAATGCACACTGATATGATAATGTGCAATCTCGAACGTGTTAATGTGCATTCGATGTAACACTATTATGCAACTTGATATTCATTATTACATCTTCTTTATCGATATTGTGAATGGTGCATTGTGAGTTTATTTATATATTTATTTTTAAAATTCTTATTTTTATTTATTATTTTATTTTATTTTATTTATTATTTTAATATATATGTAAAGTATATAAGATTGAGTTGACGTGTTGGACGACGTCGCCGGCGGCGGAAGAAAGAGTTAGTCAGCGGGAGAAGGTGGGGGAGGATTCGGTGGATGCCGGCGCGACGGAGGTCGGGTATAGGATGGACGACACGTCGTTGGTTGCGGTAGATCTGGAGGCTCGCCAGCGGCACGGTGTAGACGGCGTCCAGCTGTGGTCATTGACGACCAGCGGGCCGTGTGTGTACATCATGTGTGTGTGTGTGTAAATCATGTGTGTGTCTGGTGTGTTTGTGTGTTTTGTGTGAAGAAGACGTGTTTGTAACGTGTGTGTGTTTTCAGTGTGTGAGAGAGGGTGATGTGTGTGTGTGTGTCAGAGTGAGAGATGGTGGGTGGGATGTGTCATGTCTATTGTCCACGTGGCATAGAATTATTGGTTGTGGGTGAGTGATTAGTTGGTATGTTCAATGTTTGATTATTAAAATGTCTAAAATATTCTTAATTAATAAATAAATATTGTCTCTTTTTGTTACTGTTGGATCGTTTAATCTAATGACCAAGATTTATTCTTATTTCTTTCACTGAACACCTTTATCACCAGAACATATAACCATATGTGCTTTTGTACAAAAGTTTCTATATTTTATCTATTGACCCCATAAAAAATAAATTTAAAAGATGAATTATATATCATAACTTATCTATATATCTTTTAGAAAAAAACCAATTGTCTCAAAGTAACCACTTAAGGATTTTTAAGGATTTATAATGATGTACTAATTGTATAATAATATCTCTCTCTTTCTCCCTCTTCTCTTACATATAAGAAAAAGTATGAGTTGTTTTAGACTTGACGCGTGTTCATTTTTATTACGATTTTGCCATTGATTTTTTTTTTTTATTATGACAAACGACGCCGTTTGATTTGCTTAATTCTTAAGCGAGGTGATGCAGATAATGTGAGATTTACTTTCATTTTCCAAACCCTACCACAGATTTGTCGGTCTCTCTTTTCTCTCTTCCAAAACTCCCATTTCGCCGCCACTTCTCATCGCCCGAACAGATCGGACATCCATGGCTCCTCAATGCCATGTCACCCAAAAAATTGCATTCTGCCACCGCTTATTCTCGACCGACGCCGCCGCCACTTTCTCCGCCTCTATTCTCCGATCCCGACTCCGACGCGTCCTCCCTCTCCAGTTCATCCGCTCGCACACCAGTAACGAGGCCGGCTCTACCGATCCCAGCCCTCAACAAGCTCACCGACAGAGTCCAAGAGGTGAATTGACTCGGTTCTCCACAGTTTTTGTATTCATAGGGTTAACTGAGCATTTGGTGGATTGTGTATAAAGCCATGTTTTTTGTTTGTTGTTTACTTCAGGCTATGGCTTCGATTGCTGCATCAAAAGAAGCTGATATTCAGGCTGCTAGATTGAGGTTCATTTTCATCTTTTCTTTTCTCTGCTGTTGGTTCTTTTTTCGTGTTTGTGAAGTTAGATTGTGAATGGTGGGATTTTCATAGATGTTGAAGATTTCTTACTTAGTTTTAGATGATTTTGGAAATTGGATGATTTTGGGAGTAAATGTCTAGAAGATATATGTGTGTAGAACTGGATGATTTTTTTGATCGTCTACCACCTTGCCCATGTTTGTCCGCTGGTTAGCGGATTACAGCGAATTGTGGTTTCATTATTTATTTATTTAATTTCTTTCTAGTTTTTACTTAGGCTAGGATGAATTTTGTGTCATACCTATTTTTTGTTTTGATAATTTTTGGGGTTTTATTCTTCTTTTCAAATGCTTAATTTTAGCTTTCGGAGGCTTTGACTGGGAAATTGTGGAAACAGAAGATTTTGAAGAGCACCCAACATTGCTGGTAAGAATCTAAATTCTTGGGTGTTAGCTTTATTTTTCTGATGTTTGGTGCTTTCATTCCGATTGGACCTTGTCATCTCCGCATGGCAAAATGATACCGCAATCAGAGATCAAAACCACTTTTTTCTTCATTTTGGCAGATGTCTCGCGTAGGCAAGTCGGCGATAGACTGGATCAGGTAAACACCTCCCCCTCTTCACAAACCCAACCCGCAAAAACTCATTTCCAATTCTGAAGAAGAAACAACAACTCACAACTAGATCTCAATATTTCGTAGTTATCTTCTATGTTCTATGTAGAGATCCAGTGAGAGCTAAAGAACAACAATGGATTTCTTCACGACCTTCTTCGATTCGCGAGCGTGAGCTGGCTGGAATTACAAGTCGCTAAGGAATTTCCGGCAGATCCCCCATTGTCCAGATGCATCTCAATCAGGTCCCTTTTTTTGTTGGAATTTTGTTGGTTGCGTTTTATGTATGCCGTGTTTAATCGGGTTTGATTGATGTCAACGAATTTTTGTTTAATTTGGTGTTAGTTTTACCCGTTTCTCGAAATTGTGAAAGTATTTGATGGTTTTCGTGCTTTAGGGTTTGGATTTCGACAGACCACCCATCTGCTGTGGGAATTTGAGCTTTGTCTCAATAAAGCAAAAAGGGAAAAAAAACCTTAGATCTCACTATTTTGGAGGAAGAGATCTCTTATTGTAGTAGCAAGATGCCCTTTTTTAATTTATCGAATTTTACGATCATTGGACAAGGAAATGGATTAGAGTCGCTGTGTAAATATTTGATATTTTTTTGTTTAATGTTGATGTGCTTCTGTCAATAACAAGATCATGACTAGACAGAGCTGTACTGGACCTGCAGGATGGGTCAGGAAATTTGGAGGTATCCTTTATCAATTTTCTTTCTTATTTCGGCTTTGAACAAATTGGAATATTTCTTCTATTGAATGTCAACAAATGTTTACTTTCTCCAGAGTTAAGGCAATAGAAGAACTTTCATTAGAAGCACATTTGTATTTCTTTATTTAAGAATAGTTGCATATGCTATGCTACATCAGGTCTATTTATGTTACATACTCCTCATGCACCATGGTGAATTTGACCAACACAACCACACAACCAAACAAACTGAAAAACTACTATGTATGCATTCCCCAGACACTTCTATTAGCAAGAATATTCGAACACTGTTGTTTTGATCAAGGCCGCTGCTCTGTCGCAAGTCTGTTGTACAGTTGTAGAACAAGGTAAGTATTGACCAACACATACATTGGTTGATAATTTCGATGGCTTGGTTTGTACAACCTAAGCTTATTGACTGATACATTAATGTTGCTTGTTAACCAAATTTTTCTTGAATCTCGGGGAATGATTTGAAATTACATTGATGCAGGTGTGTAAGAAATGGAAATTATGACGAAGCTCTTGATTTGGAGGCATTTGCATAAAAAATTACTACGATGCGCCCAAAGTGAGTTTCTTGTGTTACCAACACTATTCATTCCACTACTCCAATTGACCATTTTGTCTTTTCTCATGTTTTGAAAACCGAACTGTTTATCGAACCGGTGAAGCTACCGGTTCAATGGTTCCCTGGTCGGACCAGTGGTCGAACCGGTTGAACTGGTTTTATTAATATATAGTTGCATATATTTTTATCAAGTATATAATGACATTTTTCTATATACAAAATAATTGTATTTATTTTTTATGTATAATATATAATTGTATATTTTTTTATCATTATCAAATTAAATATTAAATTTAACTTTTTATGTTAGGTTTTAATTTATTTTGTAAATTGTAAATTTGTAATAATCATATAATATATCTTATTTTATTCTATTTTTTTGTACAAACGCATGCAATGTAACTGCAATTTAACAAATGTATGCAATGTATCTGATAGGACAAATTAAATGCAATTTTACAANTAAGTACATATATATAAGTATAATATAACAAACTTTAGATGTGTAACAAAAGAAAGAAAAAAGGCCCTGGGCTTTTACAATTGGCCCATGCCACAAGATAATAGAGGAAGGCTAGGAAAAGCTGGAACCGCTTAGTCCCACATCGCGAGAACATTAAAAAACTAAAGAGCTTTAAATATAGAAGACTGAATGATCAATTGTGTTCAAAAACCGCTGGGTCGCTGGAACCGTTTCCGGTTCTCCGGTTTTGGCGGTTTTCGAAAGGTTTGAACGGTTTTTAACCGGTTTGCATGCTTGGCGGTTTAACACCTCAGACCGGTGCCGGTTCCCAGAGGACTTCACTTCGCTTCGCTTCGCTTCGCTTCGTTCGCCGCTCCGGTTTTTAGAACACTGGTCTCTTCTTTCTCAGCTTCTCTGGAAGCTTAAATCTAACACGCATGTGTAATCCTATTTGGAATACATATTAACCTTGGTAAAAGTAAAATTTCAGCGACCTTAAAGCTGATATGAATTGGGATTTTGGGGTGAAAGATGATCAGAATAAGAGATTGGAAGAGAACAAGATCAAGAGGCAGCTTAACAGTGTTGTGAGACCATCTGTTTTTGCTTTAGTTGTAGTATTTTACTATTGTGTAGATAAAATCATGGTCAAACATACCCTGAAACTTTAGGTCAAATCCATTTTAGGATCACTTTTTAGGAACCTAATCGTCATGCACTCATCAATGTACAAAACACAGAAGGTCATAAACAAACAAGCTTGAGAAGGCGAATGCGATGCTGAACGCTGAAAATTACCGCCATTTTACAACTGACCTTTGCGAAAGCAGATTTCGTTTTGTTGTATATGGTGCACGCCATCATTTATATTTCATTTTTTTTTCTTTTTTTCTTACTAAATCTTGAATATGCATGCATGTTTCTTATATCCTACATTTTTTTTATGTATCCAACTAATAGTTTAAAAATTAAATTAATCATCGGTTTCAATTCTTGTTATAGGATGTCAAAGGACTCGGCGCCTGGATAATGTATCTGGGTATTTATTAAAATGAGAAGCTTATCAATTTTTTTTTTTTTTTTTATTCTAATAAATTTATAATCCATAGCTTAATAATTCAATCTAAGTTAAGGAAAGAGTTAAAACTTATTATGAACCAAATCTTAATTATTCTTGCAGGGTGAATAAATTGATTATCTTATGTCTTAGAAATCTCACGTTTTTACGCAGCTGGACAGTGTGCTAAAAGGGATCTTTTATTAGGTTGCTTTGTTTCTTACTGACTACCCTTTTCGTTCCCTTCACATTTATACTACTTGTAAGGAAGCTGTTGCGTCCAACAATAGCTTTTCTGATGATTTGATTAAGGATGAGGTGGACCTGAGTATTGGAAACTACAGAGAGCTTTTTGGGGTTTCTCTTGATAACCTCGGACCAGATATTTGGAGATGTTTGTATGGATGGGTTTTCCGGACCGAAAGACATGTTCGAGTCCCAGGGTGCTTATGAGGTATGAAAATTCGTATTATAAACTTATTGCATCTATATATGATTCTATTGCCATTTGATAGTGCATAGTATAGTTTCTTACCATGGTTTGAATATGTGAGTCTGGTAAATCTTAGTATAGCTAAATTTGCATTATCACGTGAAATCTTCATCAAAAGATCATCCTTGTTGTATTGGCGATTGGTGAGATAGTGTTTATTTATACGTCCTTCATAAGATCCTGCAAAAAATAAGAGGATTAGAAAAACCACCTCGCCTCTATCATATTATTGTCCCTAAAGTTCCTGCTCCTCCTGTGCATTATATAGTAAAGTTATACTATTGCCGAAGATCTTAATGGTTGATGGATATCATGATGTTTACAATTCACCCTAGATATGTTCTCAAATTTTTAGAATTAAAATAATTCATATCCTTAAAGTATAATAATCAAGCTGCCGAGTGTGGTTATTTTGCTAATGCATTTTATAATGTAGGTATGCTATTTAGCTTTTTTGTGCTTGTTTACTAAATTGGTCTTCCTCCATCCATGTTCCCTTAATCATGCCCCCTTGTTGAAAATGAATACTAAAGTGTAAAAAACAAATAATTCATTTATTTCTCTTTTCTTTCCTCAATTTTCCGAACACAATGACTACACAATAATTTATGAAATTTGCTATTCATTCACTAACATTTTTATAATTATCGATCATTATTTTACAATTTCGCTATCACATCAAATATTACACTTTATATTACATCAATTTACATTGTCAAGAACATTAATTCTTCCATCAAATAAAAAATGAAGAATAAAAAATCACCTATCTTTACCTCATTTCTATCTTTAAAGAGGGAAAAAAAAAAAAAAAACTGTTTAAGAAAAAATATTTTGTATTACGCAATGTTGATAATTGGGGGAAAGAAAGACTAGGAAGGAGTGAATATTAAGGTGATTAAACTTTATATATGTATTTTGTGAAATTATATCGAAGATAGCATTAAGGTACAAAATGAATATGGATAAACATAGAAGGTGCTGGATTATAGTTGGGATGATACACGTGCAGATGTACATTTCACGTCTGTGTGACTGGCAGCACATATGAGCTACAACTACTATTAGTTGACTAAAATAAGCTTTTACCACATTAGCTAATCTAACTAACCATCAAACTATGTTTATATTTGTAAAAAATTTCTCTTCAAGAAATTTATCACCGGAAAGTAAGAGATGTTACCTTGAGAAGGTACTGAGTGAGCAGACTTCCCTTATTGGAGCCGACTCTTCCACCATGACCCGACCCAATTATGGGTAACTCGGGCTTGTGGGACTTAAATATCTTCTCACGCTGGCGTTTACGACTCGACCATCTCTCACGGGCCGCCCCAACAAAATCCACCTCCAGTGGATCCCACGGTAACTCACCAGAAAGTAGCACATAGTTTGGTATGTCATCTTAATTGTCTCTACTGTTGCACTACTTGGCTTCCTTTGAGTTAAAGAGTAAAGTGAGAACTTGGTTATGGAAAGGACTCTTTGGTGGTCATAAGGCTCTTTGGTGGTCATAAGGCATGGGGTACTTTTGCGATTGTTGTTGTGGCTCTCATTTACTTATGTCTTATCTTGTCATTAAGGCTAATCACAGTGTCCAATTAGGGGATTGCAAGTTTGGCTTAAGATGATTAGTGACGGTCTTACAATAGTCGTCATCTCAGCACTAGGCCTAAAGTTATTTAGGGAAATTATCTCTGCATGTGCATATGTCTTATGCTTTCTATTAATCTGGTATTAAGAGTTTGAGTTTTACCATATCTGGGAGGTAGGGGTAGCTGTTTTAGTTGGTTTGATCATATCATTAGTTGCCTTAACCAAAAAGCCTTATGTTGGATTTGGAATTGAGTTTGGCTGCTGGATGTCACAAAATGTGTTTTTGCTTATGAAGGACGACAAACCCCGGTGGTCTAATCTCTACAAGAAGATGAAGAATTGTTTCAAGGAGGAGGAAGGAAGAGCAAGATTAAGTTAGATTTTGATTTAATGTCTCTTTTTTTACGTAATTTCTTTCTGTTTGCTAGAGACATATGTGACTTTTGGGTTTTATTTTGTTTTAATTGTAATTTCGTTTCTAGTTATTATTATTATCAGTTTATGTTACTGAAAACCTGTTAATCCGTTTAAAATTAGATGTTGGTACAGGTATCAAATGACTTATATGTTATTCATAATAAATAATAATGTCACAGAACATAAATTATTTGGCAATATTATTTATGTTCTGTGACATATAAGTCATTTGATTCCCGTAACGACATTCAATTTTAAAATGGATTAACAGGTTTTCAATAACATAAACTGTAACTAGAAATGAAATTGACAATACGAAAACTACAATTAAAACAAAATAAAACCCGAAAGTTCCATAGGTCTCTAGCAAACAAAAATTACGTAAAAAAGACGAGACATTAAATCAAAATCTAAACTAAACTTGCTCCTTCCTCCTTGAATCAGTTTTTGATCTTCTTGTAGAGATTGGACCACCAGTGTTTGTCCTTCATACGAAAAAAAAACCTTTTGTGTTATTCAACAGCCAAACCCAATTCCAATTCCAATGGTTAAGGCAACTAATAATGTGATCAAACCACCTAAAACGTATCCCTGCCTCCCAGAAATGGTAAAACTCAACTCCTAAGGCCAGAAGGCATAAGACAAATGCGCATGCAGCTATTATAAGATCATTAGCACAAAGTTCATTTCCTTAAATAACTTTAGGCCTAGTGCTGAAATAGCAGCTATTATAAGACCGTCACTAATCATTTTGCAATCCCCTAACTGGACACTGTGATTAGCCTTAATGGCAAGGTAAGCCATCAGTGAGAAGTAAATGAGAGTCACGCAACAGTACTCAATGCTCTGTGATCACCAAATAGTCCTTTCCATAGCCAGGTTCTCACATTACTCTTCAACGCAAAGGTCAAGCCAAGTAGTGCAACAGTAGAGACGGTTAAGATGACATACCAAACTATGCACTAGTTTCTGGTCGGTGGGTAACTATGAGGGTTGAGTAGAGACAGTTAAGATGACATACCAAACTATGCACTAGTTTCTGGTCGGTGGGTAACTATGAGGGTTGTGAATAACAGGTTGTGCTTGAAAATCATCAATCGATTGTTTTCTCGGTGCACGAGCAACACTCACAAGTGCACCTCTCTCACTGATCCGAGTATAGTATGTGAGTCCCTCCTTTGTGTCTATCCCCAACTGTAGGAAATGCTACATCTATGTAGTATGGGAGTGGAAAATTAGTATTGTTACCATTCCAAAAATGTAATTGCATAGACAAATGCATTCAGAAAAAGCATCTTGAAAAGGAAAATGAGAGAATTACACAAGCTACCCTTGAGGTCTAACGTACTTTTGAAAATTTAACTTGGAACAATTGCAAAAGCCTCCCTTTGATGTTACATTAGTTTTACATTTTGCACAGGTCTTTAGTTGAATGGCAAAAGCACCACGTCATCCTATATTCTCATGTGTCAGCCTTTCTTTTTTCAGAACGTTACAAATAGCTCCAACAACTTTCCTCTGGCCATTTGTAATATTTACAGGATTTGAAGGATTTAAATTCAATTGGTTGAAAAAAGTTAGGCTTATTTGCAATATTAAGAAAAGATGAAGGATGCAACCGAAAAATTATTTGATGGGGACATGGTAGTGCAATATAGCATCTTGGTGAATAGGGAGATGCAGAAGAGGCCGTGAAGATTTCATTAAAGAAAGAAAAATTATATAATAATGACGTTGAGTTTCAAATGACCTAAAAACTTAACTTATAAATAAGGTGCAAAATTAAACCACTTTCTTGGTCCTCTTGTTTTTCT